AAATATCTCATCGGACCAGGTGACTTATTAGGCTTTAGTTTGTCTATTTGCTTACTAACATCGTTACTAGTCACTACTATCTCACTTAATTTGTTTTCTTCACTATCTCTGAATAGAGTCGGTGCTCCGGGTATCATGTTTAAATTTTCGTGGTGAAAACTGTTGAAAAATATTTATTCAAATTATTGCTCATTTCTCCGTCGTTATCAGTGAGCTACTTGAGTCTGACGTATTGGTCCAATCTTTTCTCGTGTTTGGTTTTGATACATTTGGTAGAATCCTTTGGGGTTTGTCTTCGCCTCCCTTGCTATCCTTACCTCATTATTCCTCTTGGCTTTCCTTATCTCGGTTTTAACCCTACTCGCCAATATCTTATAATAATCCTGGAGGTAAATTTCGCCACGCATTATCCTTCTACCTATAGCCTTCCTTTGGCCAATGATGTTCTTTAAATAATTATTTATCCATTTAGGGTCATTGTTGTCTGATCTGAGTTTTTGTATGGTATGTTCTGCCTTTGTGCATTAAGTAACTCATTATTTAAATTGTCGAACTCGCAATCTCAGATCTCGTTATCAGGTCGGTGTCATCTGTCAGGTTCACGGCCAAGGCGACACCCCTCTCAGCGCCTTTAAACCAAGTCAGTTCTTCTGAAATCTGGTACTTTAGTGAATTTTCTTCTTACGCTCGCCCTGAAAAATCTAACTGAATCAAATTTTGTGATCGCTGTTTGCAAGTTTGTTCCCTACCTCGACATTGCTAATGAGGTTTTCTCTGTTCGACAGAACTAAATCCAGTATATTATTACCCCGTGGGGTGGACGGTGTGAGGGAGAGAAGAAGGGAGGGGTGGACGGAATGGGGAGAGGAGATAAGGGAGGGAGGTATACGGCATGAGGGAAGTGAGATCGAGGAGTGGGAGAGAGGTGAGAGGGGGGGAGACTAAAAAAGGTGAGAGGGAGTCACAAGTGAGGGGTGAGAGGGATGAGAAAGGTCACCGGGGAGAGGGGTCACCGGGGAGAGGGATCACAAGTAAATAACAAAAACACCCTGAAAATAAAATTAATCTTCATTTATTTATTTTGAGGGATAATATTCCTATGTCGACCTTTTGAGAACAAGAAATTAGGAAGGAGGGAGGTGAGAGAGAGGTTGGGGAAGGAGGGGGTAAGAGAGGTGGAGAAGGAGCGGAAGAGAACGAGAGAGGTGGAGAAGAAGAGGGAGAGAAAGGTGGAGGAGCGGGAGAGAGAGAGAGAAAGACGGTGAGGAAGGAGGGAAGAGATAGGGGGGTGGGGAAAGGGGGCATAGGGAAAGAAGAGAGAGAAAAGGGGGATTTGGGGAAGGAGGAGAGAGAGAGAGAGAGAGAGAGAGAGAGAGAGAGAGAGAGAGAGAGAGAGTGTGAGTGAGTCCTGCCCTCCCCTCCCCCCAGACCGTGAAAGATAGGTAACCATCACCCCGTTTCCCATTTTCTGTTGCCACATTTACAGCACCTGAGCCAACACTAAAGCTGTGCTCTTGGTCTTGTCCGTGTAGATGCCGGAGTGTGGACGGGTCTTCGCTGTAAGATTAGGATCACTTGAAGATAAGACACCCCAGCTTATATCATCTGAAGATTAATCACCCTAACACTGTCTGGTTAGGTTAGATTAAGTTAGGTTAGATTAGCATTATATTAAGGTAAGTTAAGCTTGGTTAGATTAGATTATTATGTTAGTAGTATTATGGTGTTTAATCATCAGATAAAATAAGCTGGGGGTCTTATCTTCAGGTGTTATGAAGAAACTTTATGTCCTCAGAACAACGAAAGTATCTTCGTGTCAAGTCTTGGAAGGTTAATACAGGGTGTCCCAGAAAGAAACAAAAAATTACACACACTAGCGTACAGATTTTTCATGGAGATCGGCAGAATATTTAGACTCCCTGTATAAGAACGAGAGACTCCCTATCAGTTCGTCTGCTGTCGTGAGAAGCGGAGGAGATTGGGGGTAACGAGCCAAGACCTTGATGTTGATTAGGTTAGGTTGGGTTAGGTTCGGTTAGGTTAGGTTAGGTAAGGTTTCGTTATATTAGGTTCAGTACGGATAGGGAAGATTAGGTTAAGTAAGGATGAGTTAGATTAGGTTAAGTAAGATTTGGTTAGGTTAGGTTTGATAAACTAGAGGTTCTGATCTACAGGTAATTTTTGTTCAGGTTAGGTTACGTTGAATAAATCAGCAATGTGAAATAAATTTGGGGTGTCTAATCTTCAAGTGATCCTTCTTTAGGTTGTTCTTCACTAATGGGTCGTGAAGGTCCTCCTCGTTGGTCTATTTACTTTTACCTTTTACCCTCGACCTACCTGTAATTACCTCACAAGATCGATATTTGTGTCCGTGTAAACGTGTGACCGCCGTTAAGTGACCGTGAGTGACCGTTCTTTGGCAATTCTACCCCTGAGTAACAGCTTGACACCTCTCAATAGCAGCACAAACATGAAGACTTCACATCACGAAAGCAACTCCGTTTCACAAAAAAAAGCCAGTGAAGTAAAAATAAATAAGTTATCCCCAATACTTTCAGTTTCACCGAAGTCGCCAGCGATCACCCTACCAGTTACCCAAAATCGCCAGCGTCGCATCAAGGTCCTATTACAGTAGATCCCCAACATGACGGACCGCTTGTGCTGACGTCATGTACTGCCTCTTACTTCTCAGTTCCCCAAAGTGCACAAAATGGATTATCTGAAGATTAGACACCTCAACTTATTTCACCTGAGGATTAAATACCCATACGATACGTGGAGGGTTGGGTTAACTTAAGTGATATAAGCTGCTGGGGTGTCTAGTCTGCAGGTGATCCCATACAACCAGCTGTGTATGTGTGTGGGGCCAGACACCATGGCGTCATTATCAACACTGTGACTAAACGAGAATGTTCAGAACGCATTGCTTATTTTCCTCAGGTCTTCTTGGCAACGTTTTCTGATGGGTAAACTTCCCCCAGTCCTGCACGGAAAAGGCGAAGCAGTAACTGGGTCAGTGAGGACGTAAAACCCCGGAGCTTCCTGGAGGTGTACAGTATACGGCAGTGTGTGTGTGTGTATAAGCTGGACACATGCCAGGCAACCCAAAGCATCATGTCGCATACTTGCAGTCAGTCAGTTCTCTGCTGAACACATTAAACTTGTAGAGATACGAATAGTATGGGTAAGAGGGATTCCCACAGGCCTATAGGAGGACATCACCTTTTATACTAACAAGTCCTCGGTATACAAGAAGTTATCGTAGTCGGCACTATACTCGACCGTTGTCATCTCCCACACTGTACAGTTAGGATTCACTGCTGGAAGGACTTGGGGGTACCGTGGGAGCGAACCAGTAACCAGTGTTGTATTCACCCCGGTAGAAAAAATCTAGTTTAACGTTTGGATGGATATTTAATTTCAACGGAATGACTGATTTTTTTTCTTGTTTCGTTATTATTATTTTGCACACCCATTTGTTTGTTTTTTAACCGAGTTATGTAAGTCCTAGGTTGCTGATCTGACTTTCTGCCTCATTTACACACAATTGCAGGGTCTCAATTGTTTCTCTTACTATTGACAACACAACATACATACAGTATATTGTCTCACTGTTGATTTTTTTATTTTATTTATTTATTTATTATTATTTTTTATTCTTATTATAATTGTTAATTATTTCTAATAATGTTTATTATTATTATTATTATTATTATTATTATTATTATTATTATTATTATTATTATTATTATTATTATTTATTATTTATTATTATTATTATAATTATTATTATTATTATTATTATTATTATTATTATTATTATTATTATTATTATTTATTATATTATTATTATTATTATTATTATTATTATTAATATTATATTATTATTATTATTATTATTATTATTATTATTATTATTATTATTATTATTATTATTATTATTATTATTATTATTATTATTATTATTATTATTATTATTATTATTATTATTATTATTATTATTATTATTATTATTATTATTATTATTATTATTTATTATTTTATTATTATTATTATTATTATTATTATTATTATTATTATTATTATTATTATTATTATTATTATTATTATTATTATTATTATTATTATTATTATTATTATTATTATTATTATTATTATTATTATTATTATTTCCAGGACCCGATGTGGATCAGTGACTGTGCGGTGGGCTAATAAAAAAAATAAATAAATAAATATATATATATATATATATATATATATATATATATATATATATATATATATATATATATATATATATATATATGCTATAACCACAAGGAAAAAGAAAACACGAAGTTCCCAGCGCTTTCGTGTAATTCACATCTTCAGGGTAGTACAGACTAGAGAGTAATACCATCAAAATTGTATATATACAGAGGAGGTGAGATCAGGTCCACAATGGTCAGGTATTGGTATTGTGGACCTGATCTCCTCCTTGCACCTACGATTTACTTGCATATATATATATATATATATATATATATATATATATATATATATATATATATATATATATATATATATATATATAAATAATAATAATAATAATAATAATAATAATAATAATACAGTATAGCTTAAATATTCATGTGTAATACTCTACTGTAGATAGATTTTAGGCAGAACAGTCAGATAATGAGTGCTGCTACGTAATGGCTACTGAAAAATAAAGCGAAATTGGATAAGTCGAGATCAGTCGCCATCAATCATGGCTGCTTTGGCCAGACCATTCTTTTCCATTTGTGAATGTCATAACACACACACACAAAGGCATGTTGATGATATCTTCATTTGCGTGGACAAAAATTCAAAATATTTGTAAATGCTACTCCGTACAGTAAACAGTGACGGCCACATCTCGCTGGGCAGTAAATTGGTCGTCATAATAGTTAAAGATGGCAGATGATTCAGTGAACAGTGCTATATAGTGAACTAACAAAAGGTTTTTCTTGTTCCAGGGGTCGTATGGCATCGTCAAACTCGCCTACAACGAGGAGGACGACACGCATTATGTGAGTACTGACTACGATTGATCTTTTTTCTGGCATATGTAAAGACTATTATTTTTTATAATATTATCCTAGTAAGGTGTAAATACGATATAAATTCCGTCTTTCCTTTTCCAGATTTGCATTAAGCTGTTCATCTCTTGAGCTATATTAAAGCGTATCATTTACAAAAGTCATTTCTCTTTTAATATTTGTTGTAACTCATTTGTTTTCGACACATGGCATCGGCAATATTGATGAAAGTTGATAGATAAAAATCACTTGAAAACGTTCGATTCAGTATTTCACCTAAAAATATTATTTCGACGATTGAGGCTTTTCAAAGGTCAGGGTCACGTGATCAAGTAATATTTTCCTATGTTGACAGTTTTAGCCTCAACGTTTCACATGATCATTGGGAAGAAATAAAAGTTGAATGTGTTATTTAAAATTTGTGTACGTGTTATTTATGTTTTGTTTGTTTATATTTCGGCATTTTTAGTACATCGGGTTCCTGTAATCTCCCAGTCTTGCCCAGCCGTCCAACAGTTTCTCGTTAATTTGTATAATTTAACAGCCACTTGAAAAGAAATCTGATTTATATTTCGTAAACGAACTTACCCTCGGGTATATGTTTGCCTTTTCGAGGTTTAGCGCTGGAGGGGTCAAAAGTTCAAAGGTCACACAGGTAAATGATATACTAGTGACATTTCTGGCTCTGACAGTGTTGAAGTTTAATATGATAGGCAGAAAGAAGAGTGTTTCTCCTGTTGATGTGACCTTTATTATGACTATCTCTAAACTCACAGTAAATCCTTTGATAATAATAATAATAATAATAATAATAATAATAATAATAAACTACTCAGAGATGTCAGTTTGATTTTGTTAGTGGTCACAGCCGTCGTAGAATAGTGTGACGCTGTTCATGTAATATTATTGTATGTTTTTTCTTGTTAAGTGACATTAGTTTAGTCACGAACATTCCATTACAGAAAATTTGTGAGGCTAGGAGAATAATAATTTTGTGAGGTCTTTTGCGTCTTAGTGTAGCCTTATGTAATGTAATTAATGTTTTCATGCAGTGTAGCCTAGTGTAATGTAAGTTACGTTCTCTTGTCCTTATTTTCCATGCAGTATTAACCTCTTGAGTACGATGACCTAAACCCCTTGATTACATAGTCATCGTACTCAAAGGAAGAATATCACCATCATATTCAAGGGATTATGATATCGTATTTGTTGTAGTCAAGGGGTTAAGCCATTAAGGAGTTGTACTCGGGGTTGAGTCATAGTACTCAAGGGGTCAAAGTATATGAATCAGTGGACTAATTCATTACAAAAGAGAATAAGTCATTGTCCTGAAGGGGTGAAGTCATCGTAATCTAGGGATTAAGTTATACTCAAGGGATTAACTCCTCATACTAAAGAGGTTAAGTTATCATTCTTCTGGGTTAACTACATTTATATTTTCCTTCCCCAGGCGATGAAGATCTTGTCTAAGAAGAAACTGATGAAGAAACACGGGTGCTTTGGTGAGTCGTCTCCCTGCTGTTTCTCCAGCTGCTGTTTTGCTGTGTGGTTTTCCCTCCCCCTTTATTTTCGTCATAGTTCTCACACCGCCTTTTGTGATACACCTATTTTAGTAGCGTTGGCTGTGGTGGCGTGGTGTTCACTGTGTGTGTGTGTGTGTGTGTCCTGGATGTAGCCCTCCACACGTGCAACATCGGCCTCTCGAGTCACCTCAGAGCTCACCAACAGAGTGACATCTTTAATATCTCATATCATTGTATCATAGCTGGATGATCGTCATACTCGATTCTGAGTGACAGCCAAGTCGTGTGCTCGAATGGTTGGTAAGGAGGATTTGTATATGTCTTTTGTAGGCTGAATGGAGGGATTCTTGCGCGTGTATTCAATTTTTCTGGGAAGACGAGAACATATGCCAGTATTCTTGCTGACACCAACTGTAGGAGCATCGAGACTGCTATTATCCATGAACAACTACGTTGGACTGGCCATGATACCCGCGTGGACGACAGTAGACTGCCAAAGCAGCTACTTTACAGTCACCTAACGAATGGTAAACATAACGTCGGCGGGCAACGGAAAAGGTATAAGGATAGTCTTAAGACAAACCTGAAAAATTGCCAAATCGATCCCCTCACCTTGAAGACGATTACGCCACACCGTAACGCTTGGAGGAGCACCACACAAGGTGTTAATACTTTCAAATTAGCCCGACTGCATAAAGAGGCAGATAAGCGCCAGCCCCTGAAAGACGCTGCCGCCGCCCCTCCAGCACAGACGGTTCGACACAGCACTGACCCACATTGTGTTCACAGAAGAGGGTATGAAATAAACTGTCAGGCTAAAGGTCATAGAGTCCCGGACCTGACATGGTGCATCCTCGAGTGCTAAGAGGGTTGTGCAAAACTCCGAGCCCCTGAAGATCCTGTTTTGTAAATGCCTGGATGAACAAATGGTCCCAGTGAATGGAAAGTGGCTTATGTGAGTCCTATCTTCAAGAAGGGCGATCGTCACTCCGAACAACTATAGACCGGTGAGCCTGACCAGCATAATATGTAAAGTACTTGAGAGTATTATCAGAATTGGCAATGGAACATCTAATACGAAAACAACCTTGTAAAGATTGCCAGCACGGTTTTATGCCGAGGGCGCTCCTGCTTAACACAATTGCTGAGGTATTGGATATTTGGACCCATATTCTGGAGTGGGTGGTAATATCGATAATATTTACCTGGATTTTGCCAAGGCTTTCGACAGTGTACCCACGAGGCTGAAAATCAAACTGGAAGGAGTACGGAATTCGAAATGTCCTAGAGTGGATGAAGACTTTCTACATGACCGCAAAGCAGTGTGTGGTGATTAATGGTACGAAATCGTCATCTGTACCTGTCACAAGTGGGGTACCACAGGGCAGTGTATTGGGCCCGCTGTTGTTTGTTTGTTTCATAAATGACATGCCTGACGTTGTACCTCCTCCATACAAATGTTTGCCGATGACGCCAAGTTATTTAAAATTAAGACCAAGCGGAGTTGAAAGGCTGCAGAAGGACCTCTGTGGGCTCCAGGAATGGTCGAAAAATGGCTGCTGAGATTCAATGTCACGAAGTGTAGAGGATGCACCTGGGGCGTACCAACGGTAAGGAGGCGTATCATATGTCCCAATGGGATGAAGAAACTGCACTAGTTGAGACTGTGTGTGAGAAGGACCTAGGTGTGTATGTTGACAATGAGCTGAGTTCTCCGGGCCCACTGTGAAAAGAAGGTAAATCAGGCAAATAAATTATTGGGTCTTATAAGAAGGTCGTTCAGATATCTAGACGGTCCGTCCCTCGTAACGATCTTCAGGAGTGAAGTGCTCCCATCTGGAGTACTGTACCCCATCTGGTCCCGAAGATATGCTAGGGACTGTCAGTTGGTTGAAAATGTTCAAGGAGGCCACCAGACTGGTGCCTGCACTTCGGCACCTCAGCTACCCTGAGAGATTGGAGCGCCTGAACTTACTAGCTTATACTACAGACAGGCAAGGGCGACCTAGTTGAGGTGTATAAGCATCTCAGGGGCACTACTCAGTTGAGTGTCTACTTGGAGCTGGCGGACTCTCGCCCCACAAGGGGTCACAGCTCAAGATTGAAGAAGCCGCAAGTCAGAAAACCCTGAGGGCAAACTTTTTTGGAGTGAGGTTGTAAACTCTTGGAACAATCTACACAGAGAGTGTTTTGACGGCACCGAGTGTGAGCTCTTTCAGAGAACTTGACCAACACTGGAGCGGGTTCAGGTACATTCAGGAGCCGGTGCATGCCCAGTATTACATATGGCGCAAGACGTGACCGATCGCCCGGGCGGCTAGCGAGCCGATCTTTTGGTGAAGAAGTTAAATGAAAAGGAGAAATAATCATAGACGTGACCGATCGCCCAAGCGGCTAACAAGCCGATCAGTGGCGAAGAGGATAAAAGTACTAGATGTAGCCTCCCATTGCAACATCTGTGGGCCTGCCGGTCCCGTAACGGCCTCTCAAGCCACCTCGAAGCTCACCAGCGAAGGTGTGACATCCTTAATAACTCATATCATTGTATCATAGCTGGATGATCATATACTTTTCTTACATTTACTTTTATCCTCATCGCCACTGATTGGCTCGTTAGCCGCTTGGGCGGCTAGTCACGTCTCTGATACTCACTGTTAGCAAGTGCTGGACATGCACTGGCTCCTGAATGTATCTGAACCTGCTCCAGTGATGGTAAAGTCTGGTCATGAAAGAGCTCACACTCGGTGCCTTCGCCACTCTCCGGCAGATTGTTCCAAGAGTTCACAATTGTCACTCCGAAAAAGTTTGCCTTGACAGTTTTCTGGACTTGGTTTTCTTCAACCTTGAGCTGTGACCCATTGTGGGGCGAGCGTCCGCCAGTTCCAGGTATGGGTACTCTGGATAACTGAGGTGCCAAAGTGCAGGCACCAGTCTGGTGGCCCTCCTTTGGCCATTTTCAATCAACTGACAGTCTCTAGCATATCTTGGGAACCAGACGAAGTGACAGTACTTCAGGCGGGGAAGCACCTCACTCTTGAAGATCGTTACGTCTCTAAAATATATCTGAACGACCTTCTTATAAGACCTACTAGTTTAGTTGCTTGACACTGTATAATAGATCGAGGTCGTCATACTCGATTCCGGGTGACAGGAAAGTAGTAGTATTAATAATAATATAAAAATAATAATAATTAACGGTTTATTGAAAGAGCATGGCAGCCAGAATGCTGAAAGTATACAGCTATATAATTGGGGAATGGGTCACTTGATTGGCAAATAATATACAAGTAATATAAGTGATACAAATATGATATATAATAACAAGGTGGGGAGAGGGTTATACTACAGGGCATTTCAACATAGTAACAGTGCAAAAGTAAGATTGACTGGGAGTGAACACACTGGTTGACCACGAGTTGTTGATAATTTTTACAATGGTTGGGATTGGGCTGTTCTTGTAAGGAGCAGTAAGTGCTCGTATGGGTGGTAGTAGTAATAGTAGTAGTGTGTGTGTGTGTGTGTGTGTGTGTGAAAACCAGAACATGACAATGTAGAATTGTGAATGTGTACGTATGAATCTTTAATGAATGAAGAAAACTGTTATTCGTTATTTATCATTGTATGGATGTATATAGTGTAGATATGTATGTGTATTTTCGTATGGTGAGCTGTCAGTCATATGTACCAATATATGTGTGTGTGTAATGTGTATGTTTCAGTGAAGCACCACGCCTACAGTCGGGATGGGTGACGTGCCCCACACACCCCACCCCACCCGTTCCCACCACTCCCAATACCCACTTGTTCTTGCCTCCTGCCATAAAATTAACCACAGAAACTGAGGCCCATGCATTGTTTTTAATGCCAAATCAATATATATTTGCAAATACAATCATTCAAATTACAGCTTAAAGAAAAAAGTGTATACAGTATATTGTACTTTAAGTTATGTTTTGACAAGTTAAGCATGACTAGATGTAGCCAACATGCTATGCAGTAGTTGTCTGCCTTGGTGGTAATAATATAGGACCGCTCTTAATAAGGTTATAATAAATATAAGTCATTATAAATAAGGCAGCACACATCAGAGACTGATACTGACACTCGTTAAGACTCTCAAATGGTGTTACGATGACCAGATATTTATCGTACATGCATGACTAATAGTTATGATATTGCTTGTAATTATGAATTAAAATATTATTTTTTGTGCTCAAATATCAAAAGCTGATCATTGTTAAGAATAACTGCACAAAACTTTTCAGAAAATGTTAAATGAATATAAGCTTTGTGGGGACAGTTTAGGATTAGTCTGAATATGTGACCCAAATTACCATCTTTCTAGGCCCATCTGAAGACAATTAACACAAATTTAGAACCAAGGGTCAAAATAAACGAGGAGTTGGGATGATGATTTAGGTAAAGCATCCCCCCAAAAAAGGCTTCTACCAGAACGGGTCCGATGACTTCCGAAATGCTATAAGCAACTCTTGATATCCCGGGAGGGTTGGTGTGCGGGGCTCTGTGGCATAATGATCCTACTCCATTTAAAGGCGTTTATTGCAAGGCGTTTGGGATTTACGGAATAGCTAACGCGTTCGCTTTTCCGGACTGTCATTAAAAATTACGACATTGTACCGCGTTATTAGTAACCATACACATTCCATTATTTATGTTAAACTATATCCCCAAATAATGCATGTCTGACATGCCCCAATATCTATTGTCCGTGATCTCAATATTCCACACCGATTGTGGACAGATGCTTTTTGGGGATACTGTATTTTGAGATACTGTGCACTGTACATTGATCTTTTTGTACACATTTTGAGTACAGTGTTACTGTGTCCACAAGGACTGGAGGCTGGTATGTTGTGAGGGAAACCTGGCAGTGTTGTCCATAGATGACTTACTGTAACTTGATTACTGGTTTAGATTGTTAAGAATTGTACTGATAATATTTATTAAAAAAAATACAAAAACAATTCACAAATAATATTTCAAACGGAAATATTAAGCTAGAGAGCAAACTTATATATATATATATGTATATATATATATATATATATATATATATATATATATATATATATATATATATATATATATATATATATATATATATATATATATATATATTATATATATATTAGGAAGAAGTTTCGACTGACCAAACATAATACTGTGTATTCGTAATTAATATGGTGTCAAGAAGTAGGTTTTCTCTGTTCTATGGAACACTTGTACCAAAAGCTTAATTTGTCACCAATTTGATGTAATTAAAATTTCTACATATGACAAGATCAGAGATTTATATATATATACATATATATACCCTGTATACATATAATGCAGTCAAATGTGTGATCAGGAATTTAACTAAATAAAACAAATAAAAAATGTCAAATAGCAAAATGAATTATTCAATCAGGTTTGGTTAGGACAGTTTAGGTCTTAACCAAGCCTAATTAACGTTACGTCATGTTACGTTAGTTGATTAGGTTAGGCCTGAAACATTAATTTTGCTATTGACTAATAAACAAGTCATTTCAAAATGCCCGATTTTTTTTTTTTTTATTTATTTACAGATGTAGCCACCGGACACAGGTGACCAGACCCACATCAGGGCCTGGGGTGAAAACGTAATAATAATAATAATAATAATAATAATAATAATAATAATAATAATAATAATAATTAATAATAATAATAATAATAATAATAATAATAATAATAATAATAATAATAATAATATAATAATAATAATAATAATAATAATAATAATAATAATAATAATAATAATAATAATAATAATAATAATAATAATAATAATAATAATAATAATAATAATAATAATAATAATAATTCAGATAAGTAAAATTTATAATAAAATTACAAAAAAAAAAATAAAATAATAATGATAACAATAATAATAATGAAAACACTGCAATAATAATAATTATAATAATAATAATAATAAGGAACTATAAAAATAAAAACGATCATTAGTGAGAAATGATATATGTATGTTGTGTTGTCAATAGCAAGAAACAATTGAGACCCTGCAATTGTGTAAATGAAGACAGAAAGTCAGATCAGCAACCTGGGACTTGGTCATAATTTTTGCAATGCCATATAGCAGCAGGGTCTACCATAGACAACACATTATGCTATCCTCTTCCCAGGCAGTAGTACCTCCTGTTTGGTAGCTGCCTACTACCTACTGCCTACACGGTTTGGCTGTAATATATATATATATATATATATATATATATATATATATATATATATATATATATATATATATATATATATATATTAGAATGTATCCTACCTGAATTATATTTTAATGGGGCGAAAAATCCTCAAAATTCATGCATGACAATTTTTTTTACAGTTGATTGAAATTTGCAATTCTTTGTAAATATAATTTGTTTTACTTAATAAAAATAAATAGTAAGTATTGTACTGTATATAATTATTAGTTTGTAAAAGTTTATTAAATTTAACATTTGAAAGTACACAGTAATTGCGGGATAGTAATGCTCATTTATTTTCTGCACATTGTGTATTCGTACAGTATCTCACTCATTTCTAATTCACTTTGAAAGGTAGAATGTATTAAAAGATAAATATATATTTACACTGGACAGTAATATGTGTCACTAGATAAAATTCTGCAGCACAGCCCTGCAAGCACTTTCTTCCAGCAGTAGATTAAGTACTGTATTAAGTAATATTCATGGTATTGTCACTCTCATAGTACAGTGCACTGAATTACTTGATCATGATGCAGTAAGCACATTTAAGATCATTGTTAATGTGGAGAATGTTGGCCACAAAGATCATCCACACAACCTGACTACCTCAGCTAATCCCAGTGATCATACTTGTTGGAATTTAGCTGCCCTACACCTTCAGTAGTGACTGGTAAGAAAAAAAACATCATCACGGCTCTCTGAGGAACGAAGATACAGTGTACAGCACTTTATAATAAATGTGATCCTGTTTTCAATACCTTATTTTCGCTAATGAGTTCATAAGTTTTAATTTACATGGTACTTATTAGTAGTCCTTAAAATAAAAAAAAATGTGATTTACTGTATGGTATATTATAAATGCCTTCATTTATTTTGAAAAGGAATCCTGCAACAATTTGTCATCAGAAATCTTTCTTATCTCAGCTACAAGTTAATTGTCTATCAGTGTTCAATAACAAGTCAAGGATACAATGCATAGAAGGTGTACAAGTTTATACTGTTGGCATTAATTTTGGTATAGGAGGCAGCTGTGTGGCGTTGTGGTTATGGTGGGGAAGTTGATTGTCCCTTTAAGCTGCATGATGATAATTTATTAGCTTGTGTCATTTTTCTCACCCACTTGTTGCCCACGATCATCAACACAACCACACCTCTTCCTGCACCTTCTCTTACTAGTAAACCTGTGGTGGGTGAGCAATACATATAGTTGCCGCCCACTACCATCACCACCACCACCAATCACTTGGCACGTGAACCAATGACAGCATCCAGCATGACCATTGTCTCGTCACCTCCCTATCCTTATTTTTTTTATTTTGTCATTCTCTGTTGGTGTCGTTGTGTTGGCGTGTGCATGGTGGACAGGCCGTGCTTGGACCATCGGCGCAGAGACAGAAGCCTCGCCACATCTCCCTCAGCCCTCACCACTTCCTGGGCAACTACTCCCCACCCACGAGAGGTAAGTCCACATCCCCCATGCTACTATTTACAACTACTACTGCTTTGGTCGCCTGCTCCATCACCATGACACAGACCCCCGCTACATGCACAGCAGGCTTGGAGCTGTCATGGATTAGTGAAACACCAGCAGATATACATTAGCTTTGTATTTCAGCCCAGTAGATTTTAATATGTATTGTACCATACTGTAATATATTGACGCTTATCCTGTTGTGTAGTTCTCACTCTCAGTCTTTTCGACAAGGAAAAAGCTAAGTCTGTAGGTATTCTTTTGGTATAAAGTATATATACAGTATATATATATATATATATATATATATATATATATATATATATATATATATATATATATATATATATATATATATATATATATATATATATATATATATATATATATATTATAATTTTGAAGGATTTAGTTATCACTACTATATATTATTTCAGTATTTAAGTTCATTTATTGTTGTGCAAACTACAGTGGGGCTTTTTATTATAACAGTAATGCTATTTAAGGCTTCTATGTACAGTATTCCTCTGACATTTCTGTACACACACCTCTGTAGAGCCAATGCTAAAGGTGTAGTTATCCTAAACGAGCCTTCAGGAAAGATAACTCAGTTTGGTGAGTTTGTGTAGGTTTTCCTTTTCTTTGTAAATGCATAGTAGTCTACCAAATACAAGAAAGGTAGGAATGTTTTTTTTTATTTATTTAAATAATCTTATTTTCCACACGTGTAGCCTCGCTCTACTACAAGGTCATCGTTACAGACCTTCAGTGACCAATGAAAGAGTTTAATCAGTTCTATTTATATACAGTATTGGTAGGGGTAGGATTTTTTATGGTTTATTAAAGAAATACTGTCTAATGTGCACATTTAAGATGACAAAATACAGTTCAAATGTGACAACAGGATTTTTACAGGAAAATTATGCATATTTATGTATACAGTATATAGTATCAAAGGATGGTTATTAATAATGGTCTTACCAACAGTTAAGGGGCGCCTACCACCTCCGAGAGCATCAGGAGGGAGACCAAAGAACCCCTTGACCGTGTACACAGAGAGATAGCCATCTTGAAGAAACTAAACCATCCCAATGTTGTCAAGCTAGTTGAGGTACTCAACGACCCCGATGAAGATAACTTTTATATGGGTGATGGTTACAGCCAGCATCATAAGAATTGGTTCTCTTGATTTATTTTGTATTTCGTGGTTAAAGAATTGTTTACATGCAAAAATTCCACGTAGGGTTTTTGTAATACGGTACCCTGTCTAATAATTTTAATTGATGAAGATGCAGTGAATTTTTTTTTTTTTTTTTTTTATTGGGCACTCCCCTACATCCTTGTGTAAGGTGAAGCGCAGAAGCGTTTACAGTGCCCAACAGGGAAGCATGCTAAGTTCATGCTTGCCTTTATGTCTCATGAGTTAAGGCGTAGAAGCCTGAAGAGTCAAGGGCGTAGAAGCCTGAAGAGTAAGTGGTTTATGTCATCAAGTTATTGGAAGCTCCAACAACTTGTCCCTGAATACGAATTCGCAACTTTCGACTTACAACAGGTACCTAGATGCAGTGAATATGAATTTGTGGCAAAATATTGTAAGCAAAAAAACTGTGTAGGCAAAAGTTGTAGTCCTGTGTTGAAAATATTTAAATGTATTGGGGAATACTGTACTGTAATACAATATAATACAGTAATAGAGTACTATACTATTTTTTCTGGGAACAGCACTACCACCAGCAGTAGGTCGATTTTTTTTTCTTTTTTCCACAGATGCTCTCATCACTATAGGAAGTATTTTAAAGAGGGACAACTTTTTATTTTAATTATAAGTATTTGTTTTTATTTTTAGTCTTTTATCAACGATCATAAATCACCTGTAGTGGGCAGGACATGAAGGATTGGGGAAATTGTGGGGTAAAACACGGCGAAAAACTGATCATATGACACTAATATGATGTCTCTATGTGCTTTGTACTCGAAGGAATTTTTTATTTACTGTAAATACGCCTCCGAAAAATCTGACTTACCGGCTTACCACGTGTCGTCTGTTTGTTTGCAACCAAGCCGCAAGGTCCCAGCGTTCTCTCACGTCCACAAAAAACGTAAATTACACCATTACGCTTCATCGAAGTTACTTTCATTGGTGCCAGATATCAAAATGAGTACTTTAGATAATTATTGACTTCTGCCCGGCAGCGATTATGCGTAGTAAACGAATATAAAAAAGTAATATTTTCGCTGTTGTATAGGACACTCATGTTTGTGTAATTTTTTAACCCAACCAAACCCAACCTAACGCAATCCAACCCGACCCATCCCATCACCGACCCATCCATCCCATCCCAACCCGACCCATTCGCAACCCACCCATTTCAACCCGACCCGACCCATTACCTTGACCCAACCATCCCAACCCGACCCATTTCAACCCGACCCGACCCATTTAACCCGACCCATTTACCCCATTTAACCCGACCCAACCCATCCCAGCCTGACCCATTGACCCAACCCATCCCAACCCATACCCAACCCAACCCATCCCGACCCGACCCAACCTAACATAAAACCAAACATAACTTAACACCTGCGGCCTTGGGTAAACTTACTGTTACTGAGGTGGGGAAGTAGCGTTACTGAAGTGGGAGAAGCGTATGGTAGCGTTACTGAGGCGGGGGGAAGTAGCAAACCACGGCATTGAAGAAGTGGTGAAGGATTGTGCGGTGGTCTTGGCAGTAGCAGAACAGGTAACGTTTTTTGTTACACTGGAACAAATTTCTCTTTGGCCGTAAAACACAGAGATTCTCACAGCCAGGACAGTCTCTTTTGGAAGGAAGGATGTCATGGTCTTTGAAAAACTGAAGGGCAAGATTGTCTTTTCCCTGAATTCGCAAATTACGTTCATTTTAGACTGGTGATAAAAGGGTGTATTTCTTATTATCTTTTCTTATTAATTTATTCCCCTGCTGTTAAATTTTAAACTCTAAACCCCTTTTCTCGCAATTTCTTAATTCATTCATTTTCTCATTAGTTCTGTTTTAATTATTTTACTTCTTCAAGTTATTACCTAACCTCTGACCGGTGGCTTGTGGGCTAGGACATGTGGCTTCTTAATTCTGGTACCAAGCTATGGGAAGAAACAAAGATGGACACTGTAGGAGAATATTACCCCTAACATACAATAAAATGGTTTATGACAAAAATGCTAGACTTATGCCTCCTTCCAGTACACACATCTACCATGAGTAACATTCATGTACTTCTCAACAAGGTACAGTACATCCTCTGCTTTCACCATTACTTGGTGTACCTTTTAACAACACACCACTCTAATCTTATACCTCGTACACTTGAGTACCAATAATACAACTTTCAGAAACACAAACTGCATGGATCACCTTCATGGCTCCACTCATGGTACTTTACAGCAAGGTACAATACAACTTCCAGCATACAATAAAAATGGTGTATTTTTTAAGGAACACACGACACTAATCACATATAGTACACTGGAGCATCAACAGTACAGGTTACCTGAGTATGTAGCTTGTAATTAGTGACAGGGCTCTGTAGTTGCCCCACAACTAAGTATTGTACCTCCTTGCTACGCTGTTACATTAGCCAAGAAAACGTGGCGGCCTTCATACTATGCTAGCTCCAATCATACATGTCACCGAGGCGACTACACACATGAATTCTCGAACGAATAACACACCCAAAGTAATCTGTACTTGGCGGTGGACTCATAACAACAACACTGGTACTATGAGCTATTGAGTTTACTGCTCAAAAGAGACCAACAAGGGATAGTGAACATCCCAGCCAACTCCTCTCAGCTGACGGTGTGTGAGATCTCGGCTCACCCCATAACGTTGTTACACGAAGCTATCTGCTCTGAAGGCCTCCATCCTTCTCCAACAATGATGCTGGACGACGTGGACGTCGTCTGGACATACACCATGGCCTACAGGGATCTGTGTACAGGAGGAAAATCGTGGCTAGAGTCTTGATCATATGGTTAACAATACACCCCCCCTGTACTGGCTATGATATTCAGCATATTGTCTGCATTCTTATATCTTAGTGAGTCAGGCCAGTGAATACCTTTCAACTCCTCCCTCATCCCACCATAATTTCCCTTGTAATATATCAACCTTGGCCTGCTTTTGTTATGAATCACGTAACAGTTAAATCTGAAGGACAACGTTACGTGGTGACTGGTGCCAACGGGGGCTAGGTGTTCCAGCTTGGCCACCGGCCACCATACCCTCGTTAGTTATGATGAGGACCAGTAGTGTGGGTGTTTGCTCCTCCCTGTAGTGATTCATATATTTGGCATGTTGGAATAGAAAGTTGTCTCTTAGAGTTTCTACAAAAAGAATAGTGGGATTATTAGGGTTATTTGCCGTGGATTCATTTCTCTTGTCGATGTCACCATAGTTAAAGTCCCCCGTGACAACGAGGTGGCTAGGGTTGAGCGCCGTTTTATTGTCAATTAAGGCCCTTACGTTCCTTTGGTTTAATAAGCTACAGTTAGAGGATCTATAGATACATCCGACAATGAGTAAGTTTCTCCCCTTCAGTTAAATTTTACACCACTTTGATTCTTCAAAAACACCCTTTTCCCACACCCTCACCTGGCTGGCTCTAAGGTTCTGCCTAGCATAGATAACCACACCCCTATTGCAAGTTGCTTGAGAAAGATTCATAAATGAGTCCTATCCATCTATACTGAACGCATATTCCTATTGCTCGATTCTCCTGTTCTTGTACATTAGTTCTACAACACCTACTACTGTACTGTATATCGAGTTGATGTACCTTGAGTAGTGTTTCAAACTACTCTCTCTTATCAAGGAATGTGTCAGTATTAGTGTTCAGGTACATGACTTTCAAGCCGGAATTTGTCCTCGGTACTGTCTCTGATCTTGGTAATGACTCCGGCCTCCCTCCATTCTCTGACATTGTTTAATGGCACTCACCTCCTGCTGGGTGGGAGGTGGAGTGGGTGGGGGGTGTTCCTCTGTCCCCTGGTTCTGTACTGGTGCACTTGCCTCCACTACCTTCCCCTTGTATATAATCCATGCACATCCGTCCCTGTTCCTCATCGATTTCTCCCTCTTCTTCTTCAAGGACTTCAGGAGTTTTTTGAGCTGTTCCCTCTACATTACCGTGCTATCTGAATTTATGAATATACCCTGAAGTGCATCGCTCCTTGCTAAGTTTTTAGCCTGCCGAATAACTTTCCATTTCTTACCCTCACTCACTAGTGTGATCCTGAACGGGCAGGGCTTGTTCTAATATCTTTGTCCTAGCTTCCTCACGTCATGTAAAAAATGAACAAAATCTTTTACTTAATTTACTTTTATCCTCTTCAGTACTGATCGTCTCGTTAGCCGCTTGGGCGATCAGTCACGTCTCTGTTACGCACTGTTGGCAAGTACTGGGCATGCACCAGCTCCTGAATGTACCTGAACCTGCTCCAGTGTTGGTCAAGTCTAGTCTTGAAAGAGCTCACACTCGGTGCCGACACAACACTTTCTGGTAGATTGTTCCAAGAGTTCACAACTCTCACTCCGAAAAAGTTTGCCCTCACAGTTTTCTGGACCTGTGACTTTTTCAATCTTGAGCTGTGACCCCGTGTGGGGTGAGCGTCTGCCATCTCCAAGTAAGGACACTCGACTGAGTAGTGCCCTTTGAGATGCTTATACACCTCAATTAGGTCGCCCCTTGCCCGTCTGTACTATAAGCTAGGCAAGTTCAGGCGCTCCAATCTCTCAGGGTAATTGAGGTGCCGAAGTGCAGGCACCAGTCTGGTGGCCCTCCTTTGAACATTTTCAACCAACTGACAGTCCCTAGCATATCTTGGGGACCAGACGGGATGACAGTACTCCAGATGGGGAAGTACTTCACTCGTGAAGATCGTTACGAGGGACGGACCGTCTAGATATCTGAACGACCTTCTTATAAGACCAAATAATTTATTTGCCTGATTTACCTTCTTCTCGCAATGGCCCGAGAACTTCAGCTCATTGTCAACATATACACCAAGGTCCTTCTCACATTCAGTCTCAAATGGTGAAGTTTCTTTATCCCGTTGGGACATATGATACGCCTCCTTGCCGTTGGTATGCCCCAGGTGCATCCTCTTACACTTCGTGACATTGAATCTCAGCTGCCATTTCTTCGACCATTCTTGGAGTTCACAGAGGTCCTTCTGCAGCTCTTCACAGTCCGCATGGTTCTTGATTTCCCGAAATAACTTGGCGTCATCGGCAAACATTTGTATGGAGGAGTGTACAACGTCAGGCATGTCATTTATGAAACAAACAAACAACACCAGGCCCAATACACTGCCCTGTGATACCCCGCTTGTGACAGGTACGGATGATGATTTCGTGCCATTAATCACCACACACTGCTTGCGGTCATGTAGAAAGTCTTCTATCCACGCTAGGACATTTCCCCGAATTCCGTCCCCTTCCAGTTTGACTTTCAGCCTGGTGGTAGTGCTGTTCTCAAACATTATCATATAATTTTTTCATAAGCCATAATATCAATGATTTGTATGAGTACTGTATGTTCTAAAGAACATCATATTGGGATCGTTTGTGCCTATGAGAATTAGATTTACAACTAATTTCGTGATTGGTATCCCTGTATCTTAGAACTAATAGACAGTAGTTATGAAGATTGATTACTGTTGCTGTGTGGTATTGTAAAAAAAAAGAATAAGTATATTATATACTGTAGTTCACCATGTAATCCATATAAAGTAAAAATAAGAGTAACATTTGTGTGTTGCAGTGTTTGAGCTTCTGGAGAAGGGAGAAGTAATGGAGATTCCAACAGACTCTCCATTAGGTGAAGATAAAGCCTGGAGTTACTTCAGAGATGTTGTCATGGGCATTGAGTATTGTAAGTGTGATGTGTTTAAAACAGTAATATTTTTGACATTTTTAGACATTTATTGACATAATTTTCTACAGAAGTTTGTATGTTAAAACATGAAAGTTGTTTCTCTCAGTGGTCTCCTTTCTCATTTAGACAATTTTCTTGGGCCCTGTAAAATGCAGCTTAATTACTGTATGTAGCAGTTACAATACAATTTCAGCTCTTTAACAACCTATTCCCAATTATGATGGTAAAAGTGTCCTATAAACAGTATTTTCCAAATTACTATTTTATCACACATAATATCATATGTTTCTTGAAATTATGTCTAGTTAGTAACACAATTTTTTATTTCCAATTTTAATTCCTCAGTGCACTACCAAAAGATTATCCATCGAGACATCAAGCCATCAAACTTACTCCTTGGAGACAATGGTCATGTTCAGATAGCAGACTTTGGGGTTTGTAATGAATTTGATGGGAAAGATGCCTTTCTCACCAATACAGCAGGAACTCCTGCTTTCATGGCACCAGAAGCTCTCTCAACGTCACGGCACAAATATTCTGGGAAGGTGAGTGTGTTCATATTGAGAGAAAACATATGATACCACTATACGTGAAGGTTGACTTTATCTTTTGCATTACAGAAAATCTGGCTGCTTTCCTTCACTCATAGTCAGGTGACGTGTACAGCATGTGATAATAACCACATAGTTTTTGTTTAATATGTACAAAAGGAAAATTCTATACAGTGTACATTGTACACTGTATAGAATTTTCCTTTCATGATCTAATGCCTGGTATAAAAGATTCATGTAATGCCTGAAAAGTCTGTGGGGTGAAATCCAGGATTCATCCAACCAATGCCAGCTGGTACTAATTCAATGGTTAATGAAACCTCCTGTTGAAAACCAAGGTTACCAGAGGCTAATTAGTAGTGGCACCAAATTAGTAGACACATATCTATCAACTGAAGGTGCAGTATTTGTGACCAGAAATGCAGGACACTTCTGGCAGGGTCCGTGCCGAGTAAAGACATGACTGTCTCACTCTTGTCACTACAGAAGAGAACCAAATGATTTACCTTACTTATTTTAATTATATCACTTGGGAGTTTGTAGGATGGTTCACAGATTGTTGTTGATAAATACCCTTACCTGATATTTGATAGTAATCTATAAGGATACACCATCAGAGATAGGCTCTGTGGGCATTGCTCATTCTTTGGGACCATTTACTCTTTGGTAACAAGTTATATGTAGAATGACTATAAGTTTTGTAGTTTATATCTTTTTTTGCATAAAACTTTAGGATATTCTGTGCCTAGAGGTAAACTGAGGTACAACAAACATAACTCACTCAGGATTTGTGTACAGTCTGATAATTAGCATAGCTCCATGCATTATTATACTCCAATTTGCACAGAGTTGTGAGGGGGCCACTAGGACCCAGACAGGGTAGTGTAGGGGGGGCACAGATGGATCATCAAGTGTGCATGTGGTGTATATAAACTTTTAATTAAAAGTATGCTACGTAGTTCATTCATTAAAAAAATTGTTTTATAAAATTGGATAATACTTTAATAATACAGAAAACAATGTGCTGGTATTTTACTAATATTGAATTTAGGAATATATATATAAGACCGCATCACAATACTGTACAGTACTCTAAACCACAAAAGTTAACACAATAAATCAAAGTAACCGGAACTCAATGAAGTTAACCAATGTAACTGCAAAATTTACCACAATAAACCAAGGTTAGTTACCAAATTTAACAAAAAATCAAAGCAATGCAATAATCTTTATTCAGGATTAGTTTACACAGCTAATATGAAGACATCATACACTGCCTGATGCTGTTTTATCATCCAAAATATGTTGTTTATTAATTCCATCCAATTTGGATAAGCTCGAGCAAAGTTAGTGATCACTTTATTTATGACTGTGTTTGTTTCTATAAACATTAAACAAGGTAAGACCATTTAATGTCCAGTTTCATTGTAGAGTGGAGGTAACTTTTGAGATTCCCATGAAGTTACTGGTTAGGTTACACTGACTTGGAGCATAATTCAGTACACCATATATATGTTCAGGGAGGGTTATATACTGTATGTTAAAGGGAGGTTTACCTGAGTGCAGCTGTCAGGGAGTTGGACAGGTGAGACTCCCAAGGATTCCAGTTCTGTTTCAAGACAGTTTGGTGATGGAAGATCACTGACCGTTGACCCTTTGTACTTCAGTACCTTTTTCTTCATTCTGAGTCATTCATTAATAAAGATGGAATAAGAGAGAGCCCCAGAAGAGCATGTTGTTAAGCCAGTGATAAACAATTTTCGAGTTCATAGAACACATGGTCAATGAAAAGGAATTGTGATGGTATGATGTAAATATTATTTTGGGAAAACTATTGACATGTTAGATTTATTAATATTCTTTCTGATTATTCAAAGTAGTAATGGTTTAGGGGCATTGACTGTTTCAGCTGAGGCAACAGCTTCCTTGAACCAAGTGTCACCAATTTGATCAATATCACCACGACACTGAAAGAACAGATGACACCTTTTCTCTCCGACATTCCTGTGCACATGTCAATAACACTTCCTTGAAGGCTTTGCAACACTCAGTAAATGACATCAGAAATTCAATTTATTAAAAGACTGTGATTTTCCTTTAGGAATTGACTCTTAAGTTTCATGAATCTGTCCCCAGCAATATTTTGCATAGTTTCGACAACAGCTGTATAAAGCAAGAGAGGGTGAGGGGGCACACAACTGTATGAATGGTGTGAGGTCATGATAAATTATTATTGGATACTTTATAACTTTATGTATTGTGTATAATTAGGCACATATTTTGGTACCTTGAATTATGTAGGGGGACCGTATAAAAATTGCTGGCGGGGGATCCGGCCTTCGAGCACCTAGTTGGGCATCCCTGTTCTAAAGCATCATGCTGAGCAACCCAACAAGATTTACATAAATCGACTAACTTTAGTCTGGAATTCTGAGGGTACATATTAACTATAGTATTGTCCCGAAGCAGTCACTGACATTTGGGTGAATACTTGAAAAACACTGGCGTGCACACATCAATCAGAATATCCATCTGCATATGCTGAAACTGACTTGTCCTTTACCTCGCCACACATGCAGTGCCTTGTAAGTGCTTACAATAAACCCTCGATAACTCGGCACATATGGGGCTCTGGCCTTGCCGAGTTATCCTAAATTCCGACTTATCGAGACAGTTCCCCCTCCTACGAAAACACAACAATAAAAATTTATTGACCCATATATGTGTACTACATGTACCGGGGGTAATTACTAAATGTAAATACGTAACACTTAACAGCACTGCAAGCAAAGAATGAAGCATCATAGTAGGTGACACAGAGGCATGGTAGGTGACACAGAGGTATGGTAGGTGACAGAGGCATGGTAGGTGACAGAGGTATGGTAGGTGACACAGGCATGGTAGGTGATGCAGGTGGCCAGATATGCCGAGATTTTCCCAGGTAATTTTATATGTCTCTGTATTTCCCGAGTTATACTAACACATTCTGAGACCATATCCATGCCAAGTTATATGAAATTTTGAGTTATCAAATGCTGAGTTATCAACGGTTTACTGTATTGGGTTGAGGATAGACAGCAAATTATACTTCCTGACTTTAATGATACTGTACCTGGATGCTTAAATTATGTGTACTGTATAATAATACTGTACTGTCAAGCCCCTGCATTGAGACTCATATTTCAGGGCTACAAGGACACTTTTGCATGTGTCTAGTGGAGGCACATGTCCCCCCCCCTCCACCCACACACACCACCCCTGGACCTGGGTTAAAAAAAATACATTTTGGAAATTACTGGGTAGATGTCTTAAAGATTCTGAAAGTAATTGAATTAGTCTTGTAACCCTAATTACTTACTACCTGTAATGGATCTACTAATGTAGTTAAACATGTTAATTTTCACTTTCAAGATAGAAGTGCTTTCATTCAAGAAAATTAGCCAAAATAACACTTTCAAATAGACAATCCCAGGCTTTTTTCTAAAGTCTTTTCAGACATTACACAAGTTGTCTGATCCAAACTTGGTCACAAACTCAGGTATTTCAGGATCAGTTCATCCTCTTTTCTGTATTTTTTATATTTTTTATTTATCTTTCAGGTTTGTTACTTGTTTGATCAATCATAGTTTTATTTACAAATAATTAGTCTTGTAAACATGTTTAATGCTATTGATTGTCTCATGTTTCAGGCAGCAGACATATGGGCAATGGGCATAACTTTGTATGCCTTTGTTTATGGCAAACTGCCATTCCATGATGAAAATATAGTTGTGCTATATGACAAGATCAGAAGTTCAGCTCTCTCATTCCCACCTGTGCCATTTGTCTCGGATGATCTGAAGGACTTAATTTCTTTAATGCTGGAAAAAATTCCTGCTAGAAGAATAACTCTACCTGATATTAAGGTATATTACTATTGACACTCATGTTAGATATTGGCAGTGGCCTTATGGAGGATGTTTTATTTCTCAGAGTCCTACACTGTATACATGTATTCTCCTTTGAGCACCTATGGACTGAACATTCACTAATCATAAATGGTGGTACAGTACTATACAGTCAAACCAAAAGTATCAAGACCCCAGGGTCTGATGGAATAGAAATCAAGTTATAACTTCACATACATCTATGTATTGGGTGGGTTAGGTTGGGTTGGTCTTTGCCCAATGCTTCATTTTCTTTCAGATACTTGGGGTCTCAATGCTTTATGGATTGGCTCACAGATGGGTGTTGGTAGTGCAGTGGTAATGTGTGTATCTTTTACAACTGTGTCATGGGTTTGAGTCCTGGCCTGGGACAAATGTGGAAAGGGTATTATCCAGTGCAACCCAACCAAACATCACAGGTTTCCTCCTCTACTAACACTGGATAATAAAGTTCATAGCAAAGTAACGAAGAACAGACCAACCACCCAAACGACTAGTAAGCTGATAAGTGGTGAAATGATGCATTAGAAAAATTATATTCATTAAAATATGCATTCATTGTTTTAAAACATTTGTCATTCTAGCATAAACAGCACTATTATACAGTAGCAGGACAGATCTAAAATAAAGGCAACCTGTTCATTTGGACAATGTGTTACAGTTTGGCCACGCTCACACTTATACACTGATAATTATACTATGCAGTATACAGTACAGTATTGTATTAGTTCATTCTGTAGGGTAAAAGTTCTCATTCACTATTCTTTATGTGAGGCTTTATCATATCCTACAAATACAGTATGTTACATTATTGTGAGACTTCTATAAATGATTTCTTTAAACAGGTCTCTTAAATTGCTGTTGATTTTATGACAGTTTGCATGTACTGTATGTTACCTACCCTGCTTTAGTTTCAGGAGGGGCCAGTGAACTTCAACAAACTTAATGGTGTATTCTTAAATTGACGTGTAATTTTCAATGTTATTAATATTTCTATTTTCAAGAAAAAATATACTTACGCACAGGGATACAATAGACATCATTAGGTTGTGTACGCTTACAAGGCAACATAAATTTGTGGTTAATGTTGGAGTGTTCTAACTCTTAACACACGGAGAGATAGTTATTCCCTTTATGTTTTTTACTTTATGATAATTATTTATTTTCTTTGCACATTCTGTGAGATTGTGTGCATATATACTGTACAGTGACCCCTCGTTTAACGAACGCCTCGGTTAACGAAATTTCGGTTAACGAACTGCCTTCCTTAAGGATCTTCAATTCGGTTAACGAATTTCTTACGAACCGACCTCAACATGTTTTCGCTTGCACTGACCGGGCAACCAGCTTTAGTATCAGTCCGCCAATACATTAATCGGTTCTAGGGCTTAAATTCCTTACTATTTTAGTAAATATCAAGAAGTTTATACTATTCAATAATTTTAAAAGTTTAATATTAACTTTTTTAGTCATTTTAACAATTATTGAACATAATTGAAGGTAAAGAAACTAGTTTCTGGCGTGCCATCCAGCCTGTTAACACACCAGACAGGCGTTAGTCTCTCTCTGTTTTCAGTGGAGGTAACATCTTGCTTGAGACTCTCTTCAACTAAACGCTTTTTTTCTGTGTTTCCAAGCAAATTATTGGTCATTTTGAAATATATTTTACATATTGACAATATATAATGCAGTGCAGTGTTGATTTAAAGAAAATAATCTTGAAATACACCAAGAGAACTAAAATTTTATGGATGAAATGGTGCCATGGGGTGACTTCTCTTCCACCCCAATGCCTTTTCTTCTTCCTTCTCCTCCACCCCCATTCTAATTCCCATCATCATCATCATCATCATCATCCAGGAGCCTTCTACATACACACCTCAAAGTAAGTGAACTTTTCTACCATTTTTGTTGAATTTAGAAAATTTTCGGTGAGCTGGAACCAATTACCCAAAAACCCATTGAAACAATGGTTTCGGTTAACTAACTTTTCGGTTAACGAACGACCTTCTGGAATGGATTGAGTTCGTTAACTGAGGGGTCACTGTACTGAGTTTAGAAAAAAATTAAGAAAATTATGTAAACTCTACTGTACAGGTGCTCCTCTACTTACGAACGAGTTACTTTCCTGAGGCTTGTTTGTAAGTACAGGTTGTACCTCTTTAGTCCGGCATTCTGTGGTCCGGAACGATTTTAGTTTGTCCAATAGGAAGATAGGCAGCTTTTTTTTTTTTTTTTTTTTTTTTATCTGAATTATTATTATTATTACAGGAGTATTAAATTTTTGCCCCTCAGGCCCCAATGTGGGTCAGTGACCTATGCCCGGGTGGGCTAATCCCCGTAAAAACAACAACAAAGCCGCGGGAAATTAAGGTTTGTTTACATCCGGCAGTTCGGCTGCTCTCTCTCTCTGCTTGTCTATACAGAGTACAACATTTAACCCTTCAATATATATGAGCAGTAAATAAGTGTTGCTTTCATATTCTTATGTAGAGTAATGACGATATATTTTCACATGTGCGCACTTACATACGAGCAGTCTCACTTTTTTTTTACCATTAATGGTTAGCTACTTATATTGTTCCATTTATTAACATTAAATAACATTACAGGTACTTCAAACAACCATATTAATTTTTTTACATAAATTTTACTACAGCTACAATCAGGGTTTTATTTTCTTCAGTTTTATATGTAGAACCAATCAGTCACTGGTTTTGTAAGCTTTAACATAAACAATGCCGGCAGCCGTCTCGTCCTCGTGTGTTTTAATATTCCACGTATTATTAATAAATTGTATTGTTAATTTTGCACACATAAACATTAATTCAATAAAAAATACATTCAGTAATAAGAGAAATGGCGCTGTTTACACGATTATGCACGTTGGCGGGCCGTTCAAACCCATCAAAATTCAAGTTTCCGCCGTCAAAATTTTTATTTATTCATTTTTTTGTGTGTTCCAATAAAATACGTTGAATTAAAAACTCGCGAAATTTGAGAAGCTACTATACGACATTTAACCCTTCAGTATGTCTTCAAAGAGACCATGATGCAGAGAAAGTGGTGCTAGTGCTTCCAAGCATAAGCACAAGTCACTATCTATCCAGGAAAAGGGTGAATTTCCATGGTCTGGCACCGGTCAGGTCCCGAGGTTGCCGGACTAGAGAGGTACAACCTGTATATAAAAATAGATATATTCACGTATTCTCTTTCAGTGAAGACGAGCCCGGGAGGGCGCAGCGACATTCACTGAGTGACTTAAAGGCAAGGGATAGTCACATCGATCTAAACAACTTCACAAAGAAGACGTGTTGTTGTCGCCATGACTGACCAGAGATCGTATAAGAAATTGTCCCAATTACAATAATTGAGAGACATAACAAAATAAAAGTCACTCTACTTCATCACTGTGCTAATAAGTACAAATACCGTATATAAAATCCTCGCGGAGCTTAGTATTTCAGCAATTATAGCACAAATTCGCGGAGCTCTGCATTGTGTTTACTTATAGCTGAATCGCCAGGCAAGAGATGAAGGTGGCAGTGCATGCGATGGGGGGTGAAGGAGGGGGTATTGACAATTGCAATTAAATGCCAGGTAGCGACGTGTCCTCCTAATATTACTTATCAAGTAATTATTAGATGTTTTAATTGCCTGTATGTTGGCCTGGTGAGTTATTGCTAGGCATTAACATACCTAGGTTAAAGCTAAGCGTCGCATTCTGGATTGAACAAAAATCAACTTTTCCAAAAAAAAAAAAAAAAAAAATAGGCGGGCGTTCCGGAACATCACCCGGGGCGTGCTAGTTGGACATTCTGGAACGTCACCCGGGGCCTAAGGGTTAAAAGTGAAAATTACTTTTTGCTATACTGTATTGGGATAACATTTTTATCTTTGTTGCTATAACCACAGTTCAGTACATATGTGCAATTTTTGTCACCAATAGTTTCAAAAGAACCTCAAATTATATATAAAAAGATCATATTCGAGTACTGTACAGTATACAGTACTACAGTTGAATAGTTTATTTCCATCCCCACACTTCTCACAACAATAATTTTTATATCAGTTTATAAATTTGTGAGTGTAAATGGTGTATTACAATTAAAACTTAGTCAATATTTGTTTCAGCAATTTTGCTGAAGTCTACTAAGCTTCTCCTTTTTTTTTAATACAGGAACATCCTTGGGTGTCAGCTGGCAACCAATACCCTCTGCCATCAGAAGAAGAAAACTGTGTGTTAATTGAAGTTACAGAGGAAGAAGTGCAGTGTTGTGTGCGCTCCATCCCCAAGTTAGAGACACTTATTCTTATTAAATGTATGCTCAAGAAACACAGCTTCCAGAATCCATTCAAGATGAACGTGTTCATCAAAGAGCAGTTTGCACGTACAGGACGGTCTCACTCGGCGCCTGGTTCGTATGAGTTCTACTTGGACAGGTATGGGTTATGGTGGTGGTGGTAATCGGCAGCTCGCGTCTCTCCTCCAATCTACGCCCTGCACTGCACGCCTTTGTTGCTCCTTATGGTGTAGTATAGACCCAGCCATGTTATCACACTGTATACTTCCATAGTAATTTGAAAACTATCATCCAGAAAGTATTATTGTCTTGATATGAGATGAAATTTCATTCCCATATTTATACACAATTGGGTTAAAGTGTCATCTTATATGAAGATTTAAATGTGCACTGTATGTCTTTAATAATCCCTGTTAATATCAGTACGTTCAGATAACACGTTTCAAGTTTTAACTTTTTTGAAGTTTCAGTGTTTTAATTTGTAATGCATATTTCATTACATCTTCTACTCACAAGGAAAAACAAACTTGAATGATGTGCTTCTAACATATTTAACAATATGCAATATTATACTAATTGCTTACTTATGCTAAGAAATCAGCTAAGAGGCTTATAATCTAAAATTATCAATTGATTTGTATCCATTTATTGCGTATTATTGCCACCATGCAGCAGGGTTGCTGATGTGGAATTTATCTCACTCATCGAAGCACAGAGTATTATGCTTCAAGCTGATCTATAACATTCTTATGGACTAAGGCATTCATTGTACTGTATTCCAATAGTCAGTATTTCCAAACCAAATTCTCTCAAAATGCTTGTACTCACACACCTCATGTACTACTGTACTTGCAAAAACCACATCTCTTGTTTCCAAATTCACCGATACAGTACAGTACTGTACAAATGTACTTCATGACACCACATTATTGTACTTGTTGAAGTACTGTAGTCAGTCTCAGCTGCTTATCAGATATTTGTTACATACTCATGTGTGACAAACATACATTAAAATGAGTAACATCATTATTTTCACCACACACACACACACACACACACACACACACACACACATTTTATATACTGTACTTAAGAGGGTCTCATTATGAGGAAACTCACCATGATAGTATATTGTTGCTTTATTAAAATCACCTTGCAACTAACAGTTTTCTTTTTGGATAATAACTTTTCAGTATTTGTGGGTTATGAATAGCCAACTGTGTTTGGCATTAGTCATTATTCAACTTTACATGTTTTGAGTGCTACATCATCAAACACACACATCCTAAAAATTCTCTTTACTTCTATACAACAACATGAAAAGAAAGAATTACTGATATTTTTTTCAATTTTAAAGTTGCAGAAAATTTTAATTTGTATAACATAAAAATTGTCATTAATAAGCTTAAAGCTTGTTCCCTCCACTCACACAGTATGAAATTATGGCTTGCTGACTGTGAGCACAGCTGACCGTATATGTATTGTCTTGTTGTGGTCCTTTGTTACCAGATGTGTGCACCACCGTATATTCCTCTGCACATTATTAATTCTTTGCTCTTGCTTAGTAACACACATTACCACAGCTTTATGATAGATTGCCCTACGTGATTGCTATAAGAGGGATCTCTATACAGTATTACCTACTCCAGTATTGGTTTCTAAAGCTTAGTTGAGTCCCAATGTGAAATTCTTGTAAGGGTGCAGCCACAAGCATACATTTTGTCGCCAACGTATGATCGACAAGACGAAATGAGGCAAAGGATTCCGACTGGTAGGGTGCGGCCGCGTGCACTAGACCGGTGTTTTTTCTTGTTGATCACATGTTGGTGACAAAATGTACACTCGTGTGGCCACACCCAAAGACAAAAGTTATTGAGAAAGAAAATATGAAAAAAGACTTTTTAAATATTAAACTTGAAAGAAACTAGCATATTATATATTCCACATGAAGATCCAAATTAATGCATTAATATTATCAGTTACCCCAAAGATAATAACTGATGCAATCTTAGTTGTGTGAAACTACAGTATGAAACCATGTTCCTACTAATATTTTACTGTGGACAAAAATGTGTGCAAATATGCATTGGAGAAGTTAGAAGTTAAAAGATATCATGATTGATAAAAGTGGAAAATACTGTACAGTATAGTAGTCTACATTATCTAGTTTATAAATTCAGGTACCTGTAGTTTCATTTATGGCCACTTAATAAGTACATAATTTCTTTTAATATCATTAAGCATCTCATTTAAAAGCAGAACAGGATTATATTTTTGCCTCCCTCTAGGTAGCATGTAATCTTAATAGACATACCCTACTTTGCACAGTTCATCCAGGTAAGGATGACAGGATGAAACTTTTAATGTATAGTATGGCTAGTACTGTATTCTTATTTGGACAAGTTCTTCAGTTATTCAAAATATGCATAGATACCATAAGCTTCCTATATTCTCTGTTAATTAGATATAGATACCTGTACAGTATTTAATTTTAATCCCACTTTTAAATATTCCAGTTTGCTGATCCCTTTGTTAGAAATGGGACTTACTCCATCTTTTATATTTTCTTTACATTGTCATTGATTTTACTAGAACGATGACAGCTTATTTTTATTGATCACATTATTTAGACATTTTTTAGGTGATCCTTTAAATAGATTTCTTGATGATTGTACACTTCTTAGAAAGAGAGAAAGAGAATGTAAGTGAGTGTGCATGTGTTGTGTGTATCAGTAAAATGTAAATGATAAAAAATACATGTAAGATAATAATTATAGCCTTATAAAAACAAAACTTATTCACAACATTGTTAATTTTGGAAGCAAGGACTTTTGGGGTACAGTAAAGAGTGAGTACTGGTCCTTAAAACTGTGCATAATATAGAAGATGCTCTAAATATTTGTTCCTGTTGCCTAGTACCATCCACTGTGCTAATATACAGAAACCTCCATATTTTCAAAATAAAGTTAAGCCAAGGGCTCTTGTGGAAAGTTTTGAAAGGAACGCATTTATCTGTTACCCCACTTATTCAAGTCGCTCACACCTGGCAATTTTATCAGAATTGGAACGTGAAAAAACTTCAGTGCACCATGCTTCAATTTAGAACTGGTCAGGCAGCGTAGTTTATTAAATGGCCCATTAGCTTAAATTTAGTAGTCGTGCCAGAATTAAGACATGAGCAGATCTTTTGGCAGGAATATTTTACTCTGATATTGAATCTCCTTGAAAACAGTTCTGGCCAGAGAATGCCTCTAACTTTTGGAAAATGTATATTCCAGTACTATAGTCAGTTCTCCTATAATGTGGCAGTTGCATTCTCGATAAACACAGTGTTATAGAAAAATCACATTGTTGTAACCATTGATTCAGTGGGAATTAAGAGGTTTGGGGTTAGTGGGTTTGAGAACACCAACATCACTGACATGAGATTCTTTTTCTCTTTCATATTATTGTTAGTATTTATGTGTTCTTTTATAATAACTGTTTTATTTTAATATCATTCATTAATAGAATAAAACATGACAAGAAGGAAAAATACTTGTTACAGTGTGTTAGTGTAGTTGTTACGTGAAAGAAAACGGAGCTATGAAGGAGGCTGCAGAACGAACATGATGAAATAATACAGGAGTGTGACTCGCTTAACCCCTAGGCTTTAGGTCACGTTTTGATCTCTTGCGGGCCTATTTGAATAAAAAAGGAAGGCCTGGCTAGATTATGTTGCCAGGTAGGTATTTATATTTCACTCACTCACACATGAAAGCTTCCCAGTTTCTTCTCAGTAGCTTCTCAGTTTTTATAATGTAGGAATCTTGCCCTTGGATTTGACTCACTACACCACGTGTTTCTACCCCTAACCCCCAAGCACATGTCTAGTGTTGTGATCAATTAGTGGAGCAATAATAATTATTGTTAATAGTGTAAATTGTAATAACACAGTAAAACAAGTGTCCTGTACCTCATACTGCCTACTGATGAATGTTGTTTACCTCATACTATAGCATCACACACACACACAGACTCGACTTCTCGAACATTCTCGACTCTTCCTAGCCTGTGTTGCCAAGCTGTGGTAAGGACATGTATTTATTTCCTGTTTATATCATGCGTGGCCAGTTTGTTAGACTAGAATTTTTTTTTTTTAGGTTCCCGAATACACCTGCAAGGGGTGGGGGGGGGATGCCATCCATAACCTGAAGCTCGGGGGTTAACAGCTTTTAATAATAAAACCTTTTTAAATATATATTTTTTAACCACGAGGAATGTAAATACAGTAAACTTATAAGAATGTTTTAACACTCATCACAAGAAGAGAAGATAGTTGTTTCAGATGAGTGGTGAAGAAGGAGGAGGAGTCAATCTGACAACATGGATGAGGGTTCATATCACTTATCACATCTAATTTTTGTTCAAGCATTATAGCTTTTCTTTGTTTTACTTCACTTTCACTACCAGAATGCTTCACACCCTTGCCATGCATTGTAATTAAAACCAATAAAGTTCATTCTGTACAGTACTTGTACAGCAATAAAGCACAGTCCTAGATAACAAATGTCTGATACTTATAGAAAATAAACAAAGATTGCGGGAGTGGTGCAACGCCTTGTCTGATGCTATGCCCAGGCGACCGCGTAACTGCTGACTGTATTCTGACTCGAGGGACATAGTTCAGTTTACTCACTTGCATTACACTACAGTATATCCAAATTGCATCCACCAAATCTGCAATATAGAAAATGTGTTCCCAAATATATGTACTGTTCTGTACATTCATCGCATTATAACCAAATCGCGCTATGAAAACATGTTTTATAGGAGACCTTATTGTAATTAACTTAGCATATTTCGTGTCACACAGGCAGTCCCTGGTTTACAAAGGTTTAATATACAAAAATGCAAAGTTATGAAATATACATTGCCCCTTCATTTGATTTACGAACAGGAAATCCGAAGTTTTGAAAAAAAAAATGCAATTTTTTTTATTTTTTCCTAATACAGGGTACTGTACAATAGGACCCCCTATGTCAGACTAAATGGGGCTCAAGCTAGTCTGACTTGTGTAGACCCCCCCACCCCCTGGTAATTTTGGCCACTATTTTGCTGAAAAAATCAAATCTAAAAACAAAATTAAAGTTAACAAAA